AATGTCACATTTACCTCAGAAAAACATATTCGGTGACCATAAACTCATTAGTCAGCTAGAAAAATAAACTGTAGAGAGGGGCATTTTGCTTAATATATGCACTATATAACAAATACATTTGACTGTTCTTCAATGTTTAATTTATGTTTGAATAAATCCATCAAGTTTTTATGACAGCCACCATTATGTTTATAATAAAAAAAAAACGAATTGAAGTAGTGAAGTAGTGTACTGTACCTGATATATAACCAAAATAATCGATATTCTTGTGAATATGAATCAAATCGAATCGTGAAAATTGTGTCAAAACCCAGCCCTAGCCATTGAACTCCAGCGAGAGCGTGTGGAGCTGCGCTCTGATTGGCTGAGCCGCCGGCTGACTCAATGTGACCCAATTCCAAACTCAGTCCATCTGACCGCGACTATATTTAAGAGCGTAACCCCCCATAAGCCCCATGAATCACAGATGAAAGCCCATATAACTCATGCATATTCATCAAGCGCTCTGAGATTGACTTACATTTCAGAAAGTAGGTGGCCGATCTGAGAGGTAAATGGGTTAACGCACAGAAATCCTCCTCTGCAGCGAGTGATTCACCGCAGACCTGACAAACGCATTAGATCTAATTCTGCTCAGCGAAACTGATTCCTCTGATTCCTTTTTGCTGAAAATGCTAGTTAATGTTTTCACATTGGACTAAAACTTCCTGACTGCTCACACAGGGCATAACAACTTCACAAAAACATGGTTACAGGTGTGGAGTTCCCAATCAAAAATGACCAGCCTTCATAAAATTACTTATACATTGCTCGTTATGCTATATTATTACCAAAATCTTGCATTGAATCATTTTGTTAACTTATTTTCTTTCCATCAGCACAGGTTTTATATTTCTTTGGTATATCTGAGTTTTTGAGTGAATATTGACAAAATGATCCACTTTATTTTTTTTTTATTGACAAAATTATCCACAAATAATGTTTTTTTTTTCACTCAGAAATGGAATATTGCCAAAAGTATCCACAAATAATGCTTTATTTTCACTCAGAAACCGAATATTGGCAAAATTATCTGAAAATAATGATTTATTTTCATTCAAAAACTAAATATTTTGCCAAAATTATCTGAAAATAATGTTTTGTTTTCACTCTGAAACTGAATGTTGGCAAAATTATCCACAAATGTTTTTTTTTTACTCAAAAACTGAACATTACCAAAAATATCCACAAATATTGTCAAAATAATCCACAATATTGCTTTTTTTTCACTCAAAAACCATCTATTTTGCCATAATTATCCACAAATAATGCTTTTTTCACTCAAAAACTGAACATTGCCAAAATTATCCACATATATATATATTTTCACTCAGAAATTGATTATTGGCAAAATGGTGAAATCGAATTGGCGAATGTTGGCGAAATCATGCGCAGCCAGTTTTTGAGTGAATATTGACAAAAATATTGTCAAAATGATCCACAAATAATGCCTTTTTCACTCAAAAACTGAGGAGCATGAGCTCGGATCAATGAGGCCTACGATCAATCGGTTCCGAAAAGAAGCACAAAACCTGCGTTGACCGAAAGAAAACAATTTGACAGAAAGATTGAGTCCATTATTTGGTGATAACATAGCATAATGAAAGATTTACACGCAGTTCTTTAACAAGCTGGTCATCTTTAAATGCCCAGCGCTCCTCACCCCATCGCCACGTCAGATGGGAACCAGACCTCCGCTGGCGGGATATTATCCTCCAGGGGCCAAAGTGTAGGGCAAAACACTAATCTGGAGCTTGAAAGGCCTTTAGTGCAGCGCTCCAGAGTGAATAGAGCGCTTCAGTTGCCTTCAGAAGCGCTGCCAACTGGGGCTACATGCAGGATCGGTGCTGCTAAACTCATCCTGGAGGCCATATTGGCAGAAAATTGCTCTGCGACGGCTATAATGCAGCTGGAAGCACATGTTTAATGTGTGGATGTGGTATGTGGGTCTGGCACTGAAGCCGTGATGCGTTTTCACAGTTTTTGCATGTTGCTTCATAATATATGTGACCGTGGAGCACAAAAACAGTCATAAGGGTCAATTTTTCGAAATTGAGATTTATAAATAATCTGAAAGATGAATAAATAAGCTTTCCATTGATGTATGGTTTGTTAGGATAGGACAATATTTGGTCGAGATACAACTATTTGAAAATCTGGAATCTGAGGGTGCAAAAAAATCTAAATATTGAGAAAATCATCTTTAAAGTTGTTCAAATGAAGTTCTTAGCAATGCATATTACTAATCAAAAATGAAGTTTTGATATATTTACGGTAGGAAATTAACAAAATATCTTCATGGAACATGATCTATACTTAATATCCTAATGATTTT